TCACACTCGGCCAAATAAACCCAGCTTCTTAACGAATCCGATTAGTTTGTATGGTGAGTGGTTTTTCAGGTCGGATAGTAAGAGTACGGCTCTGTCTAACTCTAAGAACCTGATTCATTCCATAGCGGGGCAGACACAAAGTATATGCTCTGCTGTTTCATCATTTTCCAAACAGAGGCGACACACACTGTCTTCTGACAGTCCAAGTATCTGCATATGATTATTCAAATGACAGTGGCCTGTAAGAAGACCTGTTAGACATCCGTAGTCATCCCTACTGAAGTCCAACAACTTTTTGGTATCGAGCTTCGAAGGGTGAAGCCGCATACATGTTGTCCAACAATGCATTCAGCCAAGCTAGCGTAGAGATACGCAACATATGGAACTCCATAATCAAGAGAAAAATGGCCACCTCTCGCCAAACGGTCATCTCCCGCTAAACCGGTGAAGCGGAAAGAGGAAAGCGGGGGTAAGTGAAAGTACTCGAATGACCCATAAATAGTCATCTCTAGGAGGAATTAGTTCAGTCATCACCGGAAGACGATTGTGGATAGTAACAATCGAAACGTCGTGAAGTAACTTTGCTTGGAATCTCTTAATTTTTTTATTTTGTGTTCAATTGTTCTATTTTTACTTGTATTTTATTTCACTGTCATTTCATTTCAGGTTTTTTTGCTTAATATAATTGTTATTTTCAGCTATTCTTATTTCAATTATTCTTTTTTATTTTGGTTCTTTCAGGGAATTCAAATCATTCTATATATTATTTGACAATGGAAGTCCGAACTAATGAAATTCAAAGTCTGTTTTATACAAACCGGAGAAAATGCAGAAGCAGCAAGCTATTATTTGTATCACGAGAGATATCCAGAGATATATTTGAAATGAAAAGGCCAAAATTATATGAATCAAATAGGGATTAAGAGTTGGAAGAAAAAGTCGTTGTAGGAACTGTTGAAAATAATCCCAAAACGTTAACGGAACATTCGAAAATATCAACAGGCTCACCAAGAACTTACGTTAGGAGGAATTTGAGAAAACACAAATTCAAGCCATTAGGACCACAAGAGTTCCTCAAATCAGACCTGGAGATTTTGAGTGCCGCGCATTACTTACTTCTAAAAATATTTTGGTACCAGTGACCATAATAATGCTAGAATATAGTAAGACAGATAGAGGGCTATCATTGTCAATGTATAAACTGATTGAAATTTAGATAAGATTGCAAAAATGTATGGAAAAACGAAATACTTTGAATAGGTGTTGATAGGTAAACTAGAAGTAGTACAACTCTGAATTTAACCATCTTCATGTATTTCGTATGGTTTCCGAATTCCCCCTGTTGGCATCGTTATCTCGAACACACTATATACTAGTTATCTCATCAATCTATCTGCTGTCCTTCTCTAGACTAGTCACAAGAGACGGCATGCCGCGTAAGAGGGGATGTGAATGGGACTTCGTCAAATGGAGTGAAAAGTAAAGCAGCGTTGCCAATTTAGCAAAATTTTCCTCATAGAATGTATCAAACGCAAGAAGTACTGAATTTTCCACCTATAAATATTAAAATATATCACTTGTGGACTTCACAATATTTTGCAACATTCACACGAAAAACAAAAAACATTTTCTTCATCAGCGTCCAAAGCTTACACCATATCCATTAACTCTTTTTTGGTACAATTCATGATGATTCCAGCAAATCGCAAAATAGGCTGTCAATAATTGTCACAGTTTGATATTTCTTTACATTATTCGCGATATTCATAGTCATTGCTAACTTCAGTAACAAAAACGCGGATAATTGAATATCTATTGTAGTCCAAGATCAGAAAATTGTGGATACTAATAATAAAAACATCGTGAAGTAACTTAGTTTGAAATCTGTTATCAATACATTGAATATTTTATAATATTGCTTTTTCATTTCACTTTTTTGTTAGTATATAATCGATATTTAACTTACTGATGAACTCATTAGCATTTCATTTTATTTCAAGTTCCCATACTTTGTTATTTCATAAAGTAGAGTTCTTGCAATTTTTGCTATTCATTTTTGCTGAAGTAAAAAGGAGGGTTATGAATTTGACCGGTATGTTTATATAATATGGCTGTGTGAGTATGTTCATCCGTTCCTCCTTGATCGTTCACTAGTTCTAGGCTATGTCACATCATATAAGGATTAAAGGACATTGAGTCATGAACTGTAAAAATTAACTTTGCCATGTTGGGTATCACATCGAAGGGTTTGAATGAGTTCGTGACCGTAAATATTTTTCCATTTCCAAGAATAAATTATTAATATTATCGTTATTATTAATAAATCATGTTTATTAAATTGCTGAAAAATCCCCATGATTCACATAGGGAATTGGACAAGTTAGGAAGTCTTTCAAATTTCGAAATATGAGTAGGTTTGATATATTAATCAGGTTCGTGTAGTTTCATGTAGTAGGTACACCGTAGCTCCATCGGTAGTAATAGTACTGGTCTACAATTCTCATATATGTAGATCAGTAGTAGTTACCTCACTTAATTGGTACGTGGTAAATGAGATAATAGGTGGAATTTGAAAAACCATCACAAGCTCTATTCTTAGACAGCAGGTGAATTTTTAACATCAATAATTATTGGCAGTATGAAAAAATGTTTAACAATGGTGAGTGATTAACAATTTACTTTGTGCTAACGTTTCGAACTTTATTAAATACATCCTCAAGGCTATATAATAAAATAATTTCATAAGGAAACATTATACATGCTAATACATATTGCAAAATAATATAGTTTAACTAATCACATATTTTGTAACAAAACAAACAGGTGGACTTACCAAACATTAGTTTATCCATATTGAAAAAACGTTAAAAACAGATATAACAGACAACACAGGTACGAAAACAAACGAAAATGAGGACTAACTACATGAAACGCATATAACCACAAGCACATTAAAAATGAATACACTATCATTGGACGCTACGCTAGAATTGGACGTTTTTGTTTATCATTTTTTTTAATTATTAAAACTTTAAACTGGTCTGTCACGAAACTTATGTGAGAAACCAAATTTTACGCGGGCGAAGCCACCGGCAACAGCTAGTAATTTATATTTTTACTTCAAAAATACAGTAACTGAAAAAACATGCCAACTGCACTAAGTAATGAATAGCTTCGAGAATCGAATTATGTTGCCTCACGCGTCTGCCTGCGTTCGGGTCGCGTTCTCGGCGATAGCGCGTCATTGCTTAGACCGTCCCTCTATTCCTGCGCATCGTCCCCCTTCGTCTTACAGTAGACGCGACGCGCAATGGCTTACTGCGTTGCGTCAAGTTGATCTTATCGTGATAACCTTTAAACGATTCGTTCAAATTACTTAGTGTAAGGGACAAAGTTCATAAATATTATAAGTACTTAAAACGACAATTGTATCAATTTTCATAAGGATTTGACAAATATTCTAAAATGTACATTGTAAACAAAGTACCTATCCAATTCAATTGTATTTATGGCTCTGTATTTTGCATAAAGTCGCTGCCACATAAGAAGTAGATATATGCTATCGCGGACTTTTATTCAGAACTATTCAAGATAAACAATCTTACGGTACATTATCTGCATGCAACTCCAACGGTATGGGCACCTCACACCAAGATAATATCTTGCTCAGGGAGCAAAAATTTTTCTGACTTAATACTTATAGTTATATTATGACCAAAATTACACAAAACCGTTGTAAATTGTAATCTATATGTTGATTCCAGTGGCGCATTTGCTTTTTCAGCTGCAGGAAAACCCGGAAAAACCTGCAGCACCACATCATCTGAAGATCTTGATCTAACAATGTCGTCTCTCTCATAAAACAAAATGTAGGGTGTCTCCAGAGGCTCCAATAAATTCAATGCATCACCAGAACACTTCGTGACACGACTATCGTCAAACTTATACCAGGCCGTTTCTTCTTTGACCAAGGCGTAATAATGACCACATTCAACGCCAGAACCACAGTGAACAATGACTGCATGAATATTATAACAGTGGTCTGCTAGGTTGAAATGTTCATCTATTTCGAACCTTCCAAAGAGTTTCTTGCTTCCGTTAGAGGTTGAGTCTTGTTTGAAAATCATCAGTGTTATTATTAGATTGACTGGTGCCTCAGCTATACTTGTTTCCTTATAACAGTCAGTTAGTTTGGCGCATGTTTGACAATTAATTTTTATTGTTGTATTTATTTTATTTTTATCGTTTTTTTAACATATTGTAATAATTTTACAACTTCATCTATATGTTATTCTGATGTATAAACTCTATTTATGTAAAGTTTCATCTAAATCCGTTCAATCGTTTAGGCGTGAAAGATCCATAATTATACATACATACATACATCCTCACAAACTTTCACATTTATGATATTAGTATAGATATAGAAGTTTAAAAGTTTAGATATTGATTTTTTGTTCATTTAGTTGTCTTTTTATTTTATCTGACGAATTTTGCTATACTTTTGATAGTTTTGGAAAAAATTAATCATTGAACCTATCTGTATTACGAAGTGAATTCCGATTATTTTGAAAACGGTATATGCATACTCAGAAAAAATCTGCGAAACTATTTTGTAGGAAATTGCATTAAAATCAATAAAGGTCATCACTCATTTTACCGCAGCTATGATAGTTTTCGAGATATTTCAGTATTTAAAGACAAAAATCGAGACCATTCTAATAAAAAATAATGTGTGTGCTAAATGAAAAACGTGATAAGTAATTTTCTCGTACTATTAATAGTTTCGGAGAGATTTAAATTTCTTTATCTTTGCCATTGAATACTTTTCAAAGATTGTTCTCTACGATAAAATGCGAGTTTCTACAAAATTCATTCGGATGCAAACTAATCAGCAGATGTGTCTCTGGTCCTGACCTATAATTGCGTATCTCAGAGAAGGGAATGACGAACGAGCTGGCAACACTGCATTCATTGAGAGCTGGCGGTAGCTTAGTTTGAACTGCAGCTTCTGCGTTAGTGTTCAGTCGTTTTTGGTTTAGTTCGTTTATGTTATGATTATCGCTGTACGTCCTTTTGTTTATTAGATAGACTATCATTTCGTGTTTGTGTGGGTGTTTTTGTGTATACATCTTTTTACTCTTCTCACAACCTAACTGCAACGTTATCATAAACATGAATTAACATGGTATGTGTGACATATTTTTACGAACTGATTTACATTTACCTACGTAAGATTATGAATGACGGAGAGGTTTTAGCGTTCAGGATTGATTCTAGTTTTTTATCTGGCATGTTTGAAAACTTTTACATATTTATTGATTCTCGTAATTAGGGTTTTGAAAATTTAAAACTAAACTTATTCTTAACTATTCTACTAGTAACCTCACACAATTGAAGTACATCTGGCTCTGCCAAACAATTTATTACATAGTTACAGTTCACAAAATTCTTGGAAGGCCAATTATATTCAAGTACAGTTGGCATTCAACCAAAACAATGAATTTCAAGTCGAAAAATGTAGTTGTTCTCAACTTATTTTAAAACGTGAATTATCACGAATTATCCTTTGTCAGATAACAAAAAGTTTATCACATTATAAATAAACATTCCAGCAACAAGTGTTATGGAACTAGGTACATTCGCATTTGAAAATTGACCTCTTCCAATATTCTAAGTAGTTTAAAATTTTCAGTCTGATAATGAATGTAAATACTGACACAGGTGGTTAACGGAAAAACAGATGTTAACAGATTTCTAACAGATAATACGAATATGAATTAACTGATGGATTTTTTGTTGTAAGAACATAAAAAAATTGGCATTTAGCCAAGTCTACAAGTCTACAAAATAAATGTTTTCAATTATCTATACAACATAGTATTCATGATAAGAATTGAACGATTTTCTTAAAACATTTTTTATTTCAAGAGGCGTTTCGGTAACACCATAGTTTCCTCGGTAGAAGAAGAATAGAAATCGGGAATGCGGGGATGGTTATCGCCGTCGTGTTCAGTTCAGGAACTGATCGCGATTTGAGTGTTGAAATTCGTTATTGGTGCAGTTTTAATTACTTAAAATTTTTGTTATATGTCTAAAACAAGTGGACAAGTGCTAATAGTAATAATGAGTGTGATAACAATGCAAGTAGTCAAAAACAAACCTTATGAACCCAAGACGCGATGTGATACAGGATTACCAAAACCTTCAGATGTTCACTTTAATGAAATGAATGAAAACACTTTTGTCTAATTACCACTAGTTGATTTCATTTGTACGACCGGTTTCGGGTTTGACTCCATTATCAAGTATAAAACTGTTTTATACGATTCGGAAAACGTTCATTGAAAATCCTTTCGGTCTCGTGTTACGCTAGTTGCACACACACCTATTTTGGACGGCCGAATTTGTACCGGTCGTCCAAATTTCAATACTGAACCAAAGGTGGAAACGGGACCTTGCACACATGCCTACCGGTGATCGTCGCCGGTAAAATACCGGTGAGCAGCCGTCCACTGTCACTGTATCGCCGGCAGTATCGGGAAGTAGTGACGTACATGACTAAATACACTCTTGCATACTCACCGGTTTTTTACCGACCATTCCAGTCTCGAATGCTCGGTGAAATTGTAGTTACTACGCATTAACTTCGTTTTGGTAGTGCGTGCTAATTACGACAACAAAGCAACTGATTGTTTGACCGATAAAAATCCGGTGAGTGTGCAAGCACTCGCTACCAATAAAATATCGGCCGATTTTATACTGGCCGTCCAAAATCGGTGTGTGTGCAACTAGCGTTTACTCGTCGCACCGTAAGTAAAAATCGGTTCAATTTTTTCTTCCAATGGACGAGAATTGACCATTTTAGAGATTGTTGACGTGGACCCTTTCTACTAGTAAAACCGAAAACGAAACTAAAACTGAAACTAAATGAGAATATTCTAACTGAAGAATGATGTTCATTGTCATACTGACATTTTTTGTCGTTTTTATAAACAACAAATAACTCGGCAAACCTTATCGAGTTGTTGGAATTGTCTTCGATTCGTAGTAGCACGCATTAATAGATCTTTCAAGTTGAGTATAAATACAGATACTATTTGCCTATTAGATCCTACTCCGTTTTTAAATTCATGGATATTTTGTACTCCATGGTTTTCTCACAATATCAACTTCCATGACTCACTCATTTCAATAATGTATATAACATGCATTTTATTCTTGCAGTGGTGAATAATAATCATTACTTTTTCTATTAACCTATCGATCAATACAAAGATATCTTTCGAGGTCATATCCGCAAATCCTTCGCATATCAATAAAAGTAAAATGCGTTCTCATTTTCCTAAGATGCCGTTATTTGGCACACTTTATATCAATTCTAATAACGAGTGAGTTGCCTCGATGACTGCATCTTTAAGTATTACTGCTATAGCTGAATTTTGAGGAGTGGGCAGTAAATGGATGTGGGTCCAAATAAACAATACTAATTATTTCAACGACGATACTTGTTGGATTCAGCGGCTGAATTATTCAACAGATTCGCTAATTTCGTTCTTTTATCGGTGATAGTTTACTTCAAGTACTAAACAGATTATGTCACCGACTTTGATGTGGTGACATAATCGGTGGTTTTTGAAATGGAAGTTTAGGTGACCACATTCGATAGATCTCCTAAAACAGCGGTGATAATAAGTTTTGTACAGGGTGAACAAACATTATTATTGTTTCGTTCGGAGAATAACAAAAGAAATACATAAGTAACTCATTTGAAAGAAAATCAAGGGCCTTAGCCGCCAAATTAGATGTTCAAACTACCATATCCACCAGTCTCTAGACGGATAGCAAATCTACGGATTCATTTTTTTGCACTTCGGAGAAATTTTACTGATTTAAAAAATTTAATGTTTTTTAGGAACAAATCTAACATGGTAGATTAAAGGTGTATCTTTGTAGCTATCTATTGCCTTATCCAAATAAATAGCAAGCTCTTCGCCAAACAAAGCATCTAAAAGTAGATCGATACTGTATAAAAATTTTCTGTAGAAAGATAGTACTTTACATTTATCTACATTCAGTTGAAGACTGTTCTCACCACACCAGAATTGAACTTCATTGAGAGAGTCCTGTAAATGATAGCAGTCGTCTATGGACTTAGTTACTGGATAAATTTTCAAGTGATCTGCGAAAAGTAAATGAGGGCATGTTATCCTTACCGAAATGTAATTTATGAAAATTAACAATAAGAATGGACTCAGATTAGACCCTTGGGGCACCCCTGAACTAGAAATATAATGGTTCAAGTGTATGCGATCTGACAGTTAAGATTTGAGCAATACTATTAAAGAAGTAGAAAATCCAATTCATTGAAGTTTTTTCTAAAGAAGGAAGTGGTCAATCTGATCGAAGGCTTTTTCTATATCAGTATACTCGCCAGGTTTGTCACGTTAGATCTTTTGGACATGAATCCATGCGGACTTGGTGTTATTATCATTCTAATATCGTTATATATTCAATCATAAATAATGCTTTCAAAGAGTTTTCCAAAATTGCATAATATAGCCACTGCCTGTAGTTGTATACGAATGATCGGTCACCAGATTTGAATATGGGCTTAATCGTGATATTAAGGTTATCCAATGGATCAAATCTAGTCTCGGTATTATTATAGTTGGAGTTCAAGTATACACTAGAAAAAAACTTCGCAAACCCATCCACAATTGACTGAGAAGAATCAAGAGTAGAATCATTATATTGCATACAACCAGGAATTCTTATTTCTTTTTCTTGCAATTGACAAAATTCTAAAATCTATTTGGATTGCCTGTGACCTGTCTTTCCATTTCTTGCACATAGGAGGCATATGCGGTTGTGATCTTACGTTTAAGATTTGCTCTGAAATTCTTGAATGTTTGAAAATAATTGATAGTTTTGAACCTTTCATCTTTCATCGATAGCTTGGTACCGAGAGGAGTATAAGAAATGGCATGCTTCATCTACATTACAAAAATTTTTACGTTCGTCCAGTCTATTTGAAATGAAATGTTGTATAACAGAGGGAAATTGGCACGTCTGAAGTTATATTTATAACTTGAAGAATTGAACTTAAAGTAGTCCGTGGCTTCACATTGGGAAGTTAGAAGAATGTTGAGTGCTGGATGATAGACATCTTCTTTGGTAAACGAGTTAGAATCTTTAACTACCTGAATTCAAAGTAACTTATAATGCTCATTAAGAATATTATTGTACTTTTTAGCGTTAATTAAGCTCATAAAGTCCAAAATGGCTCCAGATTCAAAATCCGTTGGATCATAGTAAAAAGAGGCTGCGTTGAAGTCTCCAAAAGTAAGTATTTTACAATCTAGTCTAAAGCAATTCGGTGATTCAAGCATTTTGAAAAAATGCAACATAGTATCAGGTTCCTACTGAAGGTGGTATATAAATACGAGATCTGTTGAAAAAATAAGGTGGATTTTTATTTTTCGCAAAAAAAATTCTATTTCTATTTTGCCCCCGTCAAAGAAGTCCCCCTCATGTATCATACACTTGTCCCAGCGTTTTTTCCAATACTCGAAGCAGTTCTGATATGCACTTTTTGGTATATCCTTGAGTATGTCCTTCGTTTTTTATCTCCTCAATCATTGCAAAAATCCGACCTCTCATGGGTATCTTCAATTTTGGGAACAGGAAAAAGTCGCAGGGGGCCAAATCGGGCAAATACGGTGGCTAAGAGATTATTACGTTGTTGTTTTTGGCCGAAAAATTACGAACATGCAATGACGAGTAAGCAGGTGCATTATCGTGTTGCAAAAGGCATGAATTGTTTTTCCTTGTCGACCGTACTACATTGTGGCAGAAACTCCTGATGCACTATCCCACGGTAATAGAAGAAAACAGTTAGCAAAATCTTGAGATTTGATCAAACTTGGCGTGTTTTTTTGGTCTTGGCTCTCGTGGCCCCATTCATTGGGACGATTGTACTTTGGTTTCGATGTCATAACCATATACCCATGATTTGTCACCAGTTATGACCTTTTTGAGCAAATCCGGATCACCCTTGATGTCGAATGAAACGTACAACTACCAATTTTTTGAATGAGGAGTATAGGCTTGTGATATATCGTTTGAAAGATCTTCATTCTTTGTTCAAAAATGTTATCGTTTCAAGTTTATTGCAACAATTGAGAT